TGGCCAGAAGTAAAATACAAATGGATCTGGAATCCAAATCTAGTGCTTAGTTTTGCCTTTCTGTGACAAAATGTTGTTTTTTCTTTTTCCTTTTTTGTTTTCTTTTTTTTTTTAATAAAGAGAATTGATACATCACTCCTAGATTTCAATATTGGGTACTACTGGCTTTTCTGGTTCTTCATGGTAATTTCTGATAAATACATTTGGGCATATGGGCAAAGGAAACTTGGGGGTTGTATTTCAGTGACTCATTTTAGATGTTGTATTTGGATGTGAAAGAACAGAATCATGCTATTCCCTTCTTCCTAAATTTTTAAGATCTGGGCTTAATATCATGGAAAATGTGATCTGAAGTTAGATTTTTATCAGGTACTAGCATTTTCTCAGTCATTTGAGCAACTAGAATACTTCTGTGTGCATAGTACTCCACAGCAGCAGCTTGCAAGGTCAGAACCACTGAAGTCAGCAGACCCTCTGTTTGCTTACAGAAAGATGTTGAACCTCTTGGCAACGTTGGTAAATTTTGTTTTCCCTTTGCTTTAGATATTTACAAAACAGGTTCAATTTAAATACGTGCACTGCTGCTCTGCAGAGCTACAGAGGTGCTCCATGTGAGTTTAATACACAGATGCTGTAGAGAACTGGCTGCTGTACTGCAGATGACATCTGTACAGGTTAAGAATGCAAGAGTGCAATGGAACAAGACTTGCTTTTCAACTTTATTTTGTAGACCGTTTTAGTATAAGGGGAATGAAAAATGTATTATGTAAGGAGTCTCAAAAGGGAGATTCTGAGTTCAGTACAACTATTGCAGTCATCTAGCAGGCACACAGAATGTTTTGACAAATTCAATTTGATTGGTACAGCCACCTGGAAACTGCAATGGCAATTTGCTGGCATAAGCAGAGGCTGAGTTTGCAGGTGTCTGTGTTTCAGTCTGGAATAATACTTGAGCTGGGGCACACTGGGAGTTATGCCATTATCCACTCCAGATAGTACAGCTGTTTTAGGAGTTCTGTTTCAACGCTGTGTTTCTTCTCTTGCTGTTGCTTTTATCCTTCCAAGGGCTCTTGGTTTCAGAACTCACTTAAAAGCCAGGCAAGTTGGAGGATTTTAGTGTCAGTCCTGACCATGCCCTTCCCACAGGAAGCCAGGAGAAGGATGGAGGGGTATGAAGTGTTTTTTCCAGTTGCACAACCCGTGCTGGCTGCACCTTTGTTTATCGTGGTGATGGCCTGACAACAGAAACGCAGGGCCTGGTCCCCAGCGAGCTGTCAAATGCCCTCCCCGCTGGGCCAGAGCACTCCCCTTTCACTGCACGGCAGGATTGTTCCCTCAGCACCTCCTGACGTGCTGCAGTGGGCTTGAGTTCCTGGGGGTATTGCAGCCTCCCTGAAACATAGGCTGGGACTGCTGTCAAAATGTCTGAGCTGCTCAAGGGAGGGTTTTTGCATTTTTGTGCTCCCTGCTTTTTGGGGAGACTGTTAAATGTAAGTTGGGTGTGTGATCAGAGCTGGGATTGCTGCACTGCTGGGACTCAGTCCTGCTACTTACTGAAAATTGATTAATACTGAAAATTGCTGCTTGTAGCTACTCTCAACTTTGTTATTAAGGAATTTATTGTTTCTGTAGATGAGGGCAGAGGAATTTTCCTTCAGTTTGTTTTAATGCAGAAATCTGAATTGGGTTCCTGGTGTTTATGTGTAAACTGGGAAGGATGATGGACTAAGACTAGTGATTCATTTATTGGGCATTTCTCTCTCTGTGCAGATTTGTGTTCAGTGTGAGCTCTGCACTTTTCCAGACAACATGTTTGTTAATATAACAAGCAAGAACTGTATGCAATAGAAGGCAAAGAAAGCCAGAAAATGGCTTTTTTGGTGCTGGCTGTGCTCTAGAACACAAAGCATTCAGAACAAATCCATGAATTTTTTCTCTGTCATGTAATGACAGCAGTTTTCCAGAGCTCGATTCCATTCCTCCCCCTTGCACACTGTCCCCAGGCACACCTGAGCTTCTCCTGCCGTGTTCCAGAACCTGTTTGGCCAGGCTGGAAACACAGACTGCCTTGCTCAAAACAGAACTGCTTGGGCTGCAAGCCTGGCCGTGGGGGCACTGGGATCTGCACGTACTCACTGTTGGGTGGATTGTCACTGGAAGGGCACCCAAACCACTGGCAGCATCTACCTGAACCCAGGGCCGTGGATTGCCCGTGTTTGTGACTGTATGACAGTGGGAAGGAAAGGGAAAGGAACAGGAATGTTTAAGATGTGGTGACACAAACTGGCTAATGTAAGCAACTGTTTACAGAGGTAACTCTTAATGAAGTGTTGAAGGGAACAATGTAGATCAGGAAGAGCAGTTGTGAGGAGAGCACCTTTTCTCAACCTGATCTCTGCCTCAGAGCTACTGCTGGTGGGGAGAACAAGGCCACTGCATTTGTTCCTTTACTGGGGGCTGCTCCAGTGTGACTGCATGGGTGAGAGGCATTCCTCTGGGGCTGGACCTGACTACAGGGCAGAAACAGCCTGGGACAAAGGACCAACTCAATGCTAACTTTCCACAGAGGCAGCACAGCTTGTCTGAAGCTGTGAGAATTCGTGAGAAGTTATGGCAGTATAGTTTATGCTGTGGCACTTAGTAGAAGGGCCAATGTTTCCATTAACAAAAAAAACAAAAAACAAACCAAGACAACAACAACTAAAACCAAACAAAGCAAACCCACCCAATAAAGTATTGCCAGAAGTTTTACTTCAGTTGCAAGATGAATGGTTTGGAAAAGCAGTCCAACCTGATTTTGCTTTGGTTCTGGGCTGCTGCTTTTGTATTTCTTACCAGGGCTTAAGTTGCTGTGGCAGATGTCTCACATTGCTAGGAAGGTTCAGGACAAGGACAGCCTCACAGGTCTGAACATGACATGGAAGGGGAAGCTCGTGGCTGGACTCCCAGGGGGGTGGTTCATGTAGGGTAGGAGGGGTGGACACTGTCCATGTTGAATCCTTGGCAATGGTTTGTCATTGTGGATTGTTCCAGATGACTGGAGGACTTATTCCCAAATGAAGCTGTTCAAAACACTGCAGACCCCAAAAATGCCTTGAGAGGAGCTGACAGCTAATCTCGAGCTCTTTACACCCAAGTGGAGTGGAGCTGGTTTGGCTGACAGCCTTCTCATGTCAGGGCATCTGCAGGTGCTCCTGGCCCACCCAGCTCCTAAACCCTTCCCACAGAGATGCTGGAAGTGAGGGCATCTCCTTTTTATAGCAGTGGGAGCCGTGGCTGTAGGTGGGGTGGCTGGGGAATGCTCGGGTTACTCCGTCAGGGAGACTGTGCAGAGCAGCTGGTGCAGGCTGGGCACAGAATGCCTGCAGTCAGCTCAGAGCACCAAGGTGCTTCTTCCCACTCTGGAATCATCAGTTTCCTTCCCAGCTCGCCCTGTGGACACTTGGCTCTGCCTGGGCCTCGTGTTGTAGTCAGCCGAGCACACCTCAGGTTTATTTAGCTGTAAATGCAGTTTACAGTAACCGTGTCCCTGCGGATCCCGGGAGAGGAGGCTGCTGGGAGGGCTCTGTGTGCAGGGTTATGCTGGTGGGAGGTGAACAAGCACATGTTTGTGGTGTGCGTGGGGTTCTGAAAGCCCCTGGCCAGCCTGTGTTGAGCACAGGAACGTGGTTTCCTGGTAGGGTGAATTTAAGATGACTCATCTGTCGGCGGTGGATCCCGGTGCAGACCTTGGCACGAGATCATCCTTGTTCTGCAGCTGGAAAAGCCAACTTCAGATTGCTGCTCCGTGCGAACTTTCTAGGCCTGGCTCTCCTCTGGGCCTCTTCCAGAATTCTTTCTTTGTGGAGGGTTTTTTTTTAATAAGTAAAAGGAAGTGGAACATCAGGGCTCAGACTTTGAACTTGTTCCTTTCCATGTTTTTTTATCTTTATTGGTTTCCCTAAATAATGGCTTTTATTCTCTGAAGTTTCATTGCTTACAGGAATTCTCACAATTGCTTTTTAAGGGGATACTGTCATATGGAAAGATTACTGGTAATTTGGTTGGTAAAATAGTTAATTCCTATTGAATTGGTATATCAACGTGTACAAAAGCAACATGAAATATTTTTGCAGCTTAAACAACTCTTTAAAAATAGGGTTTCCAACACTTGCACCATATGTCCCCTTATTAAATTCTCCTCTTACTGAATAATGACATTACCCTCTGAATGACAGAGGTGCTTGTTACATGATCTGACTTAGAGATACATCTGGAACTTGGCCCTCGCGGGGTCTCAAAATAGAATGACCGATGCAGGAAGAACTTACTAGAGGACTTGTGAGGGCTCTGAGTACAAACCACTTCCACCCTTGCCAGGGCTTTGACATTGTCCAGGGAGCCTATTCAGACAACCCAGGGATTTTTTCATCTTGCTTTTCAGCCTTTTCCCCTTTGTTGGGCTGTCCTGTCTTCCCCTCCCCTCTCCCTCAATGTTTACTGAACGAATCCTCCCTTTGCTGGAAGTGAATGTATTGTTCAGTGTGCAGCGTCAGTCAGAACAATACCAACAAGATTGTGTTTCTGATGGGATTAGTCTTCCTTGGAAGTGTCCTTTCAGATGTTATGCGTAGCACGGATGTGTTCTGAGAGGTGCTAAGGAAATGGGCTTGTTTGAATTGGATGAGCTCCACTGAACAGGGTGGGCTGGTGGCTAAAAGCTAGTGATGCATGCTAAACAAGAAATCTTGTTGTGCTTGTGCAGGTATTTTAAAGCCCAAGGAAGTATTTCTGAGAAGTGGGGCTGAAGGCCCCACACATAAGCAGATTTTTTAGCTTCCTCCCTTGTGCTGCCTGCGGTGCAGTGTTAGCACCTGCTGTTCGCTGCCCTGCACAGCCCTGAGAGGGCTCAGCTCCTCATACACAGCTGATGCTGCTTTTAGGACAGACCTTCAGGGCAGCTTTTTCTCACGGCTTCTCTGAGCTACCAATAAGCACCGTGTGATGTTTTTCACTTGCAGGAAGGCCAGTCCTCAGCAAACGGCCCATCTCGAGACAGCCCCCGGCAGCTGCCGGCCAGAGAAGGAAGCGTGGGATACCCCAAGCTGCGGGCCGGCTACATCCCCATCCCCGTCATCCACGAGGGCCTGGACGGCCGGCAGCAGCACCCCTGCTTCTCTGCCCCGCAGAGGTACAAGACAGAAGCCGTGCCCGGCGCGGGGCAGGCCTATCCCGGCCCCGAGTCCCCCGCGCCCGCGGATAAACAGAGCGGACAGACAACGGCAGCTGCACCAGCGCCGGCCACGCACGGACACGAGGTAACCACCGGCACCGCGGGGACGCCTCTGCTGGGCACCCCGTGACACACGGGGAGCTGAGCTTCAGAAGGCCACACTTGCCATCGGGATTACGTTTTCCCGATACTTTCCCGGTACTGAAATGCAAAAGTTGCACAGTCACGGCAGCAGGAATACGTCTGGGTTTTCCAGAGTCACCTGCTCCCGTTCTGGAATGGCTCTGCAGAGGTAAATGTGTGAGGGACTCTGCTGAGCCCAGCAGGTCCTGCAGCAGGGGAGGGCTGTGCAGGGCTTGGACAGGTTCCCTCACAAGTGGAGGATAAAGACAAGTCTCTTGTGTTCTGCCCCATGAGTCAAACTGAAGTGAACAAAGTGGGAGAGACAAAAATAAAAGTGTCCAGTCAGCGAACAACCCAGGCCACTTCAGAAGTCCTTTGCTTCTTAATTTAATATTTCGGTTGTATAAAGAGCGTGGATTTACATAAATGCAGATTTAAAAGTCTATTGTAAGGTGCTTTTGTCCTTCAGTGGCATGTGAAAATATTTCCAAACGATGAACTTCTTTGAAAAAAGTCACCCTGCTTGTTCTGTGTTTGAGAAGGTTGGATTTTGGTTGGCCTGTTCTCTGTGGAGAACTAGCAGATTGGTATTCTTGTAATATATGGAAATACCAACCTCATTTTTATTCAGAGTAAGATGAGCAGGAAATTCAGCCTTCACCAAGCTGAAAACATATCAGGTCTGTAATTCAGCAGTAGTGGCATCTTGTCTGAAACCTATTTGGAGTCTGAGGAATGTAATTAAAATCCTGTTGGCAGGTTTCTCAGCTGTCTTGACTAACAATGCCTTGTCCATGCAGTACCAGGACAAGAGGCCCAGCTTTTCCTTCTTCCAAGCTTTGTCTCGTCTGCAGAGTGGCTTCAGGAATGTGTCTTCTGTGCCACTTACTGAAGTCCTCAGAGATAAGCAGAGGGGACTCAGACCTTGATGTGACAAGCTTGGGCAGTGCAGTGACGGTACCAAAGAGCAGAGCCTGTGTTGGTGACTGTAAACTGCGTGTCAGCAAGGCTGCCTGTGGTGCCAGTGCTGGGGGCTGTAATGCAAACCAGCACTTGTTTATTTAGGGGTGCTGTTTCAGGGGCAGCTGAGTGTTCACCAGCACCAAAAGAGGGGTCTTGCTCCCTTCCCTCCTGCCTTGCCTGCCCTTCTCCTGCCTTCTGGCAGTGTTGTCCTGCCCTCTCCTCTGCCAGCTCCAGGCTGACCTGGCCTTTCCCTGAGCTGTGTCACACACCCACCAGGGCATCAGCTGCTGGAGCTGGTGCAGAGGGGGAGGGGATGGACAGGCAGAGCAGGAGGTGGGAGGATGGGAACAACCAACCTGCCTTTCCCCAAACTGCAGACCCACAACCTGGAACATGCTGAGAACTGGATTCTGCAGCAGCTCAGCCCACTGCTTGTTCCTAAGGGCATGGCTAAGCCAGTGCAGCTCTTGCTGCTGGTGCCGAGGGGTTGAGGCACAGGAAGGTCCAGGAGAGGGGGAAAAAGGGGCATTATCCGTGGTATGTATTGCCATAGCCTGATACCAGATTGGTAACATGCTTCATAAAAACCCCAACAAAACACACAAAATCTGATAGTGTCACTGGGATCAGAAGTCCAAACGTTGTGTGCCTCTGTTAGTTTAGATTTTTGTCTCCAGCTTAGAATTTGTTTGCTGAGCCTAATTTACCTCAAATTTGACAGGTTTAGACAGGAACAGCCATGCAAAAGCAGCACACATTCTGACTGAGCATCCACTCCCTGCTCATTTGAGGGCTGGGAATGCTGTAGCTCAGGTTTCTACTTGTTATGATGATGCTCTCACAACTTCTGTGGTTTGTCTAGTGAGGCCCTTGGCCAAAAAGACAGGGAAATGGAGCCCTTGCGTGCCGGAAACACAAGTTCAGTTTCTGTGATGATTGCCTCTGTTTCTCTTTGGAAATGAAAAGTATTGTGAGCGCAAAATGGTTAAAATTTACTAATGGATTTTGTTTTCGTGGCAGCCTCCGCCTCCTGGAGCATCTGATCCTCCAACAGTTCCCCCTCAGTCCTCTGGCAGACCCAACGCAGGGAGCCATCAGCTGCCTCGTGGCTATATTCCGATTCCCGTGATCCACGAGAACATGCCCCGGCAGCCGACACAGGCCTACCACCAGGCACAGAAGACACACTACCCTGCCCAGCAGAGCGAGTTCCAGGCCCACCAGCCGGTGTTCCACAAGATCCAGCCCGAGGACAGGGAGCCCAAGGCGCCGCGGGCTCAGTCTCCCTTCAGGGTGGCTCAGAGGGCTCTTCGAGTCGGGAGAGCTCCCCAGCCAGAGTTACCACCCAGATGCAGCCCCCAGCTCCCATCAGAGTGCAGACAGTTGTGGACAGACCCCAGGTACGTAGAGCGGGGAAGGGAAGCGCCTCCCAGGGACTCCAGTGTGGCTGGAGCTGGAGATGAGCTTGTACCAACACGTAGATGAAAGCACGCAAAGCAGTCTCCGTTTCTGGATTTACTCAGACTGGGAGATACTGAGATTAACATGAGCAGAGAGTTGCCTTTCCACATGTCAGGACTGGGGAGTCTTTGGATCACTGAAATGTGATTTAAGACCTGATTTGATCTTCTCTCGTCAGAGTATAATTTGGTGTAATTACACTGAGGTCACTGATGTTGCATTATGTTTATGAGATGAAAATCAGGTCCATGGGATTTGTGACATCTCTGTAAATACACTTCTCAGATGTCTCAGAGCCACTTAGTGCATAGCATCAGATGCACAAAGTCATTTTAGCTATGAAGAGAAAGTATCAGCAAAATCTAGTCTTTTATTCTTCCACTGGAAGCACGCTCTTGGGTGTAGAACCTGTTGCTCATTGAACACTTTTTCCATGTTAAAATTCTTACTAAAACTACAGTTAAAGACTACTGGGAATTAGACAGCTGTGAATGTGTGGAGTGGGTGTGTACAAGCCTTGATTTCCTCTCTGGAGAGGAAAAGGAGAGGAGTAGAATTAGGTTAACATATTTGAATACCCATGTACTGTGACAAAACAAGGAAGACTTCAGGTTAAATAGCATATTTTAAGTCATTGTGCTAATTTATTTTCGTGAGTGAGAGTTTGTGCTCCCTAATAATTTTTATGTTCAATGGGCAAAGCAGTAACAGGTTGTCTGTGCAGACCACTTACTTATTTGGTGTAAATAAAATATAGATATTTTAATTCAGCCATCTAAATCCAGGAGAGCTGGATTTGGTATCTTTCAAAATCACAGTATATGTGCACAAACGAGTAAAGGAGGTGCCAGGGAAAGGAAAACACAAATCTCATAAAATGCAGTTTTCTGCTAAGATTTCCCAACTAATCTCAATTTCAAGAGGTTTCTGATTTGATGCCATAGATTTGGAGTAATCCCAAGGATTGTCCCTAATCGCTCCAGTATAATAAGATTGACACAGTAACCTCTGCATGTAAATATGCTAAAGATAAAATCAGTAAAAATAAGCACTAGCAAAAAAAAGGAATGCCCTGAAAACAGGAACGGGATGAGAATAGCCCAAAATGGGACTGAAACTCAAAGTAATTGGCTTTTCACGAAGGGTGAGCTCTAAATTAGTGACCCACAGGATGAAATCTTGACTGTGCTGCTGTCAGCTGCGAAAGCTCTGACTTCAGTCAGGGGAAGGCTTTGCTCTAAGATCCCATCTTACAGAACTGCTCGTGGGGCTGATTTTATTGGGCACAGGCAGGATTTGGTGTTTGTGAGAGTTGATTTGTGCCTGTAGTCTGCAATAGCTTGAAAATGCTTTCCAGCACAGTGCTGGTTTTGAGAACAGTAAAATTCAGCAATGCCCAAGAATGGTTAATCATCCCGTGTGTGCAAATGGCACTGCTGGGAGCACAGAAACTGGGGGTTAGGTTACTTGTTCTTTAGAAGGAAAAAAGGAGCTTTGTGTCTCAACACAAAACTTGCCTTGCTCACCAGGTTTCTCAGCAACAAGTCCCTCCTCAGGAGCCACCAAGAGCAGCCCCTGCACCTGAAGTGAAGCCTGAGAACAAGGCAGCCCCAGCCCCCGAAACTGAGGCACCGTCAACATATATCCCGATTCAGGTCACCCACCAAGAACCAGAGCCTAAAGCACCACCCCAGAAGCCTCCAGCCATGCCAGAGAAAGCTGATAAAAAGGCTCCTCCCCCTGCTAAGGTTGCTCCCCCCCAGGAAAAGCCTCCTCCTGAGGAAGCGCCGCCGCCCCCGAAGACGATGGAAACGGGGGAACCTCCAAAGCATCCCGGTGTTCTGAAAGTGGAAGCAATCCTGGAGAAAGTACAAATGCTTGAGCAGGCGGTCAACTCCTTCGAAGGCAAGAAAACTGACAAAAAATACTTGATGATTGAAGAGTATTTGACCAAAGAGTTGCTAGCCCTAGACTCGGTGGACCCTGAGGGTCGTGCGGATGTGCGCCAGGCCAGGAGAGATGGTGTAAGGAAGGTCCAGACCATTTTGGAAAAACTTGAACAGAAAGCGGAAGATGTCCCAGAACCTGTTGATGGACTTCAGCCAAATTGTCCAGAGCCTAAGGCACCACAGGAAATCATGGAGATTGAACCTGTGGTAGTCAAGAGTAAGGGAGATACCAGTAATAAAAATGCTAAAGAGGAAACCAAAATGGAAGGACATCAGCCTGAAACTAAGGAAGAAGTGTTTACCAATCTGGCTACTACGACAAACACATCTAATAACCCAACTGAACCATAGCTATGTGCTGAAATCCAAATCTCTCAGACTCTATAACTTAAAGTGTGTTTAAGTGAATTTTAAGTTGCATGCATTTCCGGAGCTCTTTTCAGCTGGTTTTAATCAACGTAGCAGCTTGGGACACAGTAAACACTTTGTGGGGAAAGGAGGGAGCTAGAAAGAAAGTAATGCATTTATCCTTTATTCTTACACTATGTAAAAGACATGTTTCAAAAATAAACCCTGTGCATTAATTGCTTTTAGATCAGCTGAGTGGAGGAAACCAAACGACTTCAGGGTTAATATTGATGCGTGTTGTTTAGGGTGTATTCTTTTGCAGGTGATTTTTGTAAAATCAGTGGCCTGCACTGTCAGAATACCAGTCCTCTTACAAGTATAGCCACTCTTAACAGTAATGTTTTTATTTTTAATGTTCACAGTTGGGCACTTTAAGTAACGATGGATAGAAAGCGTGTAAGAAACTGTAGGGATATTTATATGTGTGCAGGACTTCAATGCTATATTTTAAGAGGGAAATAAAATAATATGGAAGCCTAATTTAGTCTTGTGGTTTTATAAGGTGGAAGTGTAAAGGCAGTAGTTGGATTTAAAAACACTCTTCTAAACACAGAGATGTGTTAGAGCAGCGTTGTAGTTGAAGTCTGACAGCTGTTTTCTCACCAAGACCAAACTGTGTCTTTCTCAATTCCCTTCCTCCCTTTTGATGTTGTTGCTATATCCCATCTATGGATCCAGGAAGAAATTTGACTTAGCATTTCCCTCTCTCCCCAGGAGTCACCATGTAACAGAAATGTTTATAACATTGAGATCTGTTTCTGCTGTGGTTGTCTTACACAAATGTACAGTATCTTCACTTCTTCTGCAAAGTCATTAGTTGTTTATTAGCACTACTTCTGACTTTGCAGCCAGACACAATCTGTGTTCTTAGGTCCAATATGACTCCTCTCATTTTGTGAACAGTTTAAGCGATACTTTGTTCTAAGTAATTGGCAATTTACACCTAAACAAGGCCCATAAGATGTACTTCAGGTATATCCATGTCAAATGAAAGCAGCAGAGTCAGACCAGTGCAGAAGGTGTGCAGGGGAGGAAGGGCTCCTAACCAAACTCCAGAAGTTACCCTTGATTTGTGTTTGTAAAATTAATGAATCTTTTTTTACCTGATAGTGGGTTTACAGCATAGGAGGAAAACTTCAGTTGCTCAAGCCAGTTGATTACTTACTGAACTACACTCTGAATCTTGAAAGTGAATTGGGAATTGGGTTTAAATCCATCTGAAAATCTGTTTTTAAGGGGCAGTTTGAGAGTCATCATTGAGAACTGTCACTCTTTATTTTCCAATAACATGTAAATTGTAGTGCAAAGTGTGTTTTTGAAATAACAGTGTGACTGTGAACTGTCTGCTGAGTTGTAGGTAGAAGGGCGATGCTTCTTTTAGTTTCATTTTGATAGTCAACATCATCATGTAAGAATACACAATGTCTTGTAACCTTTTGGCTCCCCCGGCTTTGGGAGCAGCATTGTAGGCGTTCTAGTGAAGAGGTGTGAAAGTTCATCTGCCTGCGTGATTCTTGCATGAACTCACTTCAGTGGCATATTGCTCATGCAGGATTACATTTCAGTTGAGGACACACATCCCTGACATCATGTAACAAAAATACTTAAATCGAGGAAAAGCAGCCCTGGGTTTTTAGGACTGAGCTCTAAGCAGAGTCTGGAGGAATGAGGCCCTGTCTCGGTGTGGGTTTGTTCAGTAGTGCACTAAAACAATCCAGATCAAAACCACCTCATTAGCTGAGGTGGCCCTGTACAAATTAAGATTATAGTCATAAAAATGTCCTATTTACAGGAAGTTAAACAGGTGCTAGCTTTTCAAACATGTCATCTGCTGCTAATGGAGCCTGATTCATGTTATACTAGTCCGTGTTAGTCAGAGTAGGTGGAGTCAAACGTAATTACAACTGAGGGGGTTCTTTTCCAGAAGCAAAGCTGGAGGTAGAGCTACACTCTGCCAAGTGGCACTCTAAAAGTTCGGTGATTAAAGTCAGTGCTACTCCTGCAGAATTAGGTACAACTGGAAATGAAGGTTTCATGATGTGGCCTAATAAGGGAAAGTCCATGTGGCTGCCCCGGAGCGGCGGGCTGGGCCACTGCTGCTCTGAGTCATCGCCCGCTGGGTTTGCTCTCCTGCTCCAGACTGAACTGTGCCCAGGCCAGCACGTGTGTCCTGACACATCAGCACAGCTCCAGATCTGCGTGAGGGCTGCGAGGAGGAAGCAGCTGAAGATTCCCACCCATTCCCTGTAAGCTCCTGACCTGTTCCCTGCAGAGCCTGTTTGCTTCCTGGTGTTGGTACCAGTGCTGGGGGAGCTGGCAGAGCAGGGGAGGAGGGTTCCTCATTACCTTGCATTTCTGTGGTGTGGGGCTGGCTGGTCTGTGGCTTGAGCCTGGGTACCTTGGCTTTGAAACTCAGGTAGAAAGTACTTAGGGTTTCAGTACTCAGGATGAGGGTTATGTTCATTACTTTTCACGTGCAGCCGTGCACAGCAAAAAGCAAATGTGCTGTTGAGTGCAAGATGCTCAAATACAAAGTGCATTTGCAGGAACCATTTCAAAAAAATCGAATAAGTGTCAAGCAATTAATTTATTCAAGAGGCAAACAATGCCCAAGTCAGTGAAAGGCACTGTTTCAGCTCATTTACAAGTAGCAGGAGGGATATGAAAAGCCTGTACACGGAAGCACAGTGAAAGCTTAGGCTATTTTCTGAGTGCACTATCTTGTCCAGCTTGTGATATTTTAAATGCCACTAGTGGCCTGTTCTCTATATTTAAACTCTCACAGCAGCAAGGCATTGTGTTTCCTATAAATATAGCATTTTGACTATTTATTTACACACAGCCAAATCATGCCCTGCCCTGAGGAAGGGGCAGCAGAAGTTCCATTGCCCCCCAGAGCATGCTGAGACAACTGTGCAGTGATTCCTCCCTTTTTCAGCAGGAGGTACAAACTCTTTATCTGGGATATGTTTGCCCTCCAGCTTTACGTTAGCTCAGCTGTGTTTACAGACACATTTGGGAAGGAAAGTATAAGTCAAACTCCACCCAGAAGGCAGGAAAGCAGCACATAGCTGCTGAAGAGGACAAACCTCCATCAAGGTATGCTTGTGGGAAGGTTTTAATTTGCTGGCTTTTCAGTCTCCCTCCTTAGATGTGCATGTATTGATTTTTTAAATATAGAAGGCACTACTGCATCATGGACTTAAGACATAACAAAAACAGGAGGGCAATGTGGGCTTAGACTAAAGGACTAGTTATGGGCAGTAATGTCCATGCTTTTGGTCCTGTTGTGGCCAAGAAATAAAATGCAGGTGTATTAGCAAAGGGATTTAAATGCTGTGAACATTTAATGTTATATAAATCTTGGGGGTTGTTAGAAAAGCTATCAGTACCACAATTTTCCTGACAGAAACAAATCCGGCCCTTTTGGGCCACAGGGGTAAAGGAGGCCTTTAGAAATAACTAACTTGAGCTCAGTTTTAATTATACAAAATAGCCTTTCCTGAAGCCATAAAATATAAATATAAACTCAAGCCCCAACTTTCTCTGGTTATGTCAATATAATATTGGCATTAGTGACATATGAACACAATCATTTTAGCAACAGATACGATGATTTCCTTGGCACTTTCACTTCTATCTGTGTGGCTAGAAGCATTCTGATGCTGCAGGAGAGCCAAATGAACGAGAGTGTTTATTTTTCTCTGCAGGTAAAGCGTTTGTTTGAAGATAAATGGGGGACACTGAGGTACATTAGCCTTGCTGCCCAGAGGGTGATTTGGGGTTCCATAGTACTGAGTGGTCAATCTGCACAGCAGAACCAGCGAGTGCACGCTGTGTAACACTAGAGACAGTGTAATTGTATGCCAGCCCTGCCAGCCAAGGCTGCAGTTATTTTAAGATGGGCAAGAAGCTGGTTACAAAGCAGGGGAGCATACCAATTCTCAGTCAAATACCTTTCCAGAATTTATAAAGAAGCAGTTTTTAAAAATAAAGAGGCTGGGTCACTTGTTTCCTACTGGAATTTCCGCTGCTGTCTCCCAAAGCTGGAAATCCAGACAAAAGGAAGCTTTAGTTTCCATGTGTCCTTGCACTAGCAAACTGCAGGGCAAGCAGAAGTGGAGAATTTATTGTTAAATTTCAGATTATAAGGAGAAAAGTGCATCCACCACGTTATTTCAGGAAATAGTTCCAAAGGGCACTGAGCTGTGGAAACACATTTCATGTGTGAGAATTAAACATGGAATGTGGGGTTATTTATCTCCACTTCTTCTGACATCTATTCAAGGAATGTTCTCTGACGTGTTCACAACACAGACAGAAATCCCTGGTAGTGTTTGCACTACTGGATAACATTGTTGGAAGTCTTGATAAAAAAGCTGGAGATAGAGATGTAAATAATGAGCTTCTCCCAATGAAATATGGGACCTGTTCTAGGAATGAGGTGAGCAGGCAAGAAACTGTCACAAACTTCCAAGTATTACTGCTTCTGTTATAGATACTCGGTGTGCAGGTGATCTGACTGCAGGGCTGGTCACCTGCCTTCACAAATAGAAAATTATTTCCAAAAATGGGGGGTTATCTGAGTTTTGAAACACGAAAAGAAATACACTGAATTTAGCAGCAAAGGGGTGTGGATCTGAGCTTGGCTTTGCTGTATTTCTGCAGCCCCTGACAGTGAACAGAGAAGATTTGCAAAATCATCTACTTGAAGCCCTGATTTATTGCTTTTCATCATTTGGTGAACTTTGAGTTCCCATCCACTCCTGTCTTGTCAGGAAAGCTCAGCTCCTTCCATTTGCAGAAATGAGCAGTGTCTGGAATAATTCAATTCCCTCCCGCATTTCCCACAGGCTGGGCAGGCAGATAATGTGTTTCCCACAGCCCATACAGATCTGTGGCAAAGAACAGGAGTCATCAGCAGTCTCTCGCCTCTCCGTGCACAGCTCAGAGTGCACAATCTGTTACTGAGAGCCATAATTTTTAACCGAGGCAAGTTTTTCTATTTTATTTTAATAAAAATGAGATTAAACCAAGGAAAACCTAAAGCAGTGTTGCCCAATGGCCAAAAATACGGCAATTTTTACTTCCAAAGGACTGATGAAATGATGACACGTACTCTTAATTAGGCATTTAACTGAAATCATAGAATTTACATTAAAACTTTGGATTTCTGTAAGCGTCTGCTGATGCTGAAAGTGCACAGAAGCACTGCCAAATTTCAAATTGTGTTATTTCAGTATTTAAGGCAGTTGCAAATATTGGAGCTATCAGTGCATCCCGACAAAGATTAAATCTTTCACATTAGAGGTATTTTATAATTCTTACCAGTAGTTACTTCAATATGCTACTCCGTGGATAAAAAAGTATCAGGACTGCGAAGTAACTGTATGGATATATTGGATTACACTGAATAAAGGATATAAGGTAGGGTTGGATAACAATATCATAAACAAATACTGCTGCCTAGAAACAGCTGG